AAAAAAGGGCTGCCCCAAGTAGCTGAGCAATTTTCCTGTGTTAGAAGAGGCGGAGGAGAATACGGATTTTATCCTCAGCAGCAGCGCTCACTGAAGCTGCTAACAAAGAATGATGATGTCCTTTTCATGTTGGGGAAGGCAGCCTGGAGGGTGGCAGAGCTGCTCACGATGACCATGTTGAAAGTGGGTCCTGAGAAATCAGGACACTTGGGATGACAGCCATTCCAGCGTGCAGCCTCAAGAGCATGATATTCTCGCCCTGGGTCACCTAGCTGGAAGAAGGCTCTGGTGTCCACAGCTCTGCAGGTCCTGACACCTCCTGGCCAGAGACCACGGTGGAGGCGCTGTGCCTGGGGTCTGGCCTCGGAGAGCCTGGTGGTTTTCATTCCCCATGAGCCTCACGGATGCCCCATGATCTTTAGCTTAAACAGCTTATGTGCCTCCTCACCACGGAGGAAAAGCGTAACCTCCCAGATTCTGTCTTTCAGTTCTTGCTATGCAATTGCAAAGCTAGTGATTCAGTAAACATTTCCATTTCTCTATGCTGGGAGGTGGGAATCCAATTTACAGTTTAATCTCCTGCACGCTGAGAGAGGCTGTCAAAGACCTGACAGAGGGGGACGTCGCTTTAGTGGTAGGGGTTCAAGCCTGCTGCCGTCTTTAAAGCTTTATTCATTCTAAGTAGCCAATGTGGGAAATTTCTGGAAAGAGTACAGCCAGGATACCAAGCCCATTCTATAAGCAAGTAGAGGCCTTGCATCCCTCCTTCCTTCGCTTCCTCCTGTTTGAAGCGGGGTTTGTGCTGCCTCTCCTTGGAACTTTCCAACATGTTTAGAGCCCTGTGTCCTGTTTCAGGTTGAAAGGAGAAGACCAATCTGAACTGGTGACGACCGTGGACAAGGTGGTCTGCCTGGAATCTGCCCGCCCCCGCATGGGTGTTGGCTGCCGCCTGAGCCGGGCCCTGCTCACTGCTGTCACCAACGTGCTCATCTTCTTCTGGTGTAAGTCCTCGGCCGCCTTCCCTCCCCTTCTGTGCAGTCAAGCGCACTTCTAGGCATGAATGATGAGCTATAGAAATTCCAGGCCCGGAGGGTTCATTTCTGTCTAGTGAACCTGAGGTCTGTCTCATAAAACAGAGGAGATGAACAAGTCAGCCTGTGCCCTGGGTTGTCTTTACCTTTGGAGATTGGTGGCAGGAACGTGAGGATAACTAGAAAATGTCCTTGATTCAGGGCAGATTTCCTAAGCGGGAGCCTGGCCTGAGCAGGAGCTGGGCCCCACCCCTTCTGGGCTCTGCAGGGATCCCAGTGTGGACCAGCTTCGAACAGGAGGCACAGTAGGGGCTTGGCCTAATTTTACTCCCTGAAAAATGTAAACATCTCCTGGAGAGCTGCAGATACCTGATGAAAGCAAGAAGGACTCAGGGTGCTGCCCTGAAAGGAGGGCACCAGTCTTACCTCCTGACATCAGGGGCCGCCTTTGAGCAGAGACCTCAGGGCGTCTCTGAAGGCGAAAGGCCAAGTCACAGAAACCACAGCTCTCCAGAGACAGTCGGAGCTACAAATCACAGACCGCCTCAGTGTGCACACAGCTCCCTCCCCCACGCCATCAGGCACAGAAATCATTATCGGCAGCAGCATCTCGGAATACAAAGGGCTCCGGCATGTATATATGTATGAAACACCGTGTTCTGGTTCACAAGGGAGGAGATGAAAGCCCCAGAATGAGGTTGGGAGGAGCCGAGATCTGGACAGCTGGGGATGCCGCTGTGGTGACAGCTGGCGGGAGGAAGATGATCACTTAATAGTCTGTCCTCCCTCTGCATTTCTATATCTTTTGTTTCTCACATGCTGGTCCTGAGCCTGACATGTAGTAGGTACCCAAACCCATGTGGCAGATCCCCCACAACCTCCATCACAGCATCTTGTCCATGGTGAGACCCACTGCCAAAGGAAGTGTGAGGGATTAACAGTGTTTTGTTCCCTCACAGGCTTGGCTTTTTTGTGGGGGCTCCTAATTCTCCTAAAATATCGGTGGCGAAAGTTAGAAGAGGAAGAACAGGCCATGTATGAGATGGTGAAGAAGATTATAGGTGCGTGGCCCCCTGGTGAAAAAAGGGTTGCCGACACCAGCCAGAAGGTCCTTGCCCTAAACGGTGTGCTCTCTCCTGCAGACGTGGTCCAGGACCATTACGTGGACTGGGAGCAGGACATGGAGCGCTATCCATATGTAGGCATCTTGCACGTGCGCGACAGCTTGATCCCTCCACAGAGCCGGTGAGTTCCTGGCCGGGGCGCTGGGTGTGGGGTGAGGCGGGGTCCAACCCCACTGAGCTCCACAGAAGGAAGCCCGGAGCCTTGCATCCGATGTCAGCCGAGGGCAGTGCAGACCCCAGGGCCAAGAGTGGTGCTGCTCAGCATGCTCGGCTCTTTATAGCAGGATAAGCTAGAGAAGACGTATGAAAGCACGGTCCCACACCTCTGTAGAGAGAACGCTGGCAGTGGTGATACCAGTTGGGAGACTTTGGGCTCCAAGTAACAGCAGCCCCCTCCCCCAGGGCACAAGTAGTGAAGGAGCTCCTCCGTCTCTGTAAGTGGAAAGTTCAGAGCTGCATGGGCTCCAGGCACAGAGCAGTCAGGTCTCCGGTTCCATTGCTCTTGTGATTCTCGTGGTCCCACACTCCTCCACGGATGTTATCAGCAGACTGGGATCCCCCATGGTTGCAGATAGTGGCCAACAGCAGCTGGGACACTGGCCGCCTTGTCACAGAGCAGGGAAAGTGGGCCTCCTACTACTCTCAGAAGCAAGAGAACATGTTCCCAGTCGCCCCCAGTGACACACTCCTGGAGGCTCTATTGACCAGAATCTGTTATGTGTCTGTTTATGAATCAGTCACTGGCAAGGAGAAGGAGATTGTTTTTCAAACTTTCTAAACCATGACCTGCAGTCAAAAACACCTGTTACCTGCAACATCATGGTCCAGTTCCCACACACCCATGTGCACACTCATGCATGTACACGTAACTGAAAGCCAAGTTTCACAGCATGAATGGGGTCAGCTCCCGGGGCACAGAGCTTCATGGGAAGGGGTGGCAGGGCCACTGTCATGTGCAGCTGCAGGCGCCTTCCACATGGGCTGTGACTGCTAGAGTTGTATACTGGAGTCCTGACAAAACCGGGCTGGGAGAGGGCAGAGTCCCAGGAGACAGCCAGCAGGACCCCCGCGTGTTGGCTCTGGTTGTGGTCCCTCCCCAGCAGACTCTTGCTGTGGTTTCTGGCCAGATGCTATCATCTGCTGCTGGGTGTTGCTGAGAGCTCACCCTTGCTGAGTGCTCGCTGGGAGCCGGGCACCGCTCAGAGCTCTCCACAGGTGCAAACTCACTCACTTGGTCCTCACCATGGCTCACACACACCACAGAAGTGGCCTTATTTTACATATAAGGAAACTGTGCTCAGGAGTCCCATGGCTAGTGGCATTTCTGTGCTCCCACCACCAGGCTCTACTGTCGGCATCATCCCTATCTGCAACCCAAGAGGAATCAGAAAAATAGAGCCTTTAGCAGTCCACTTTAAGTCAGGCACACTGGCTCACACCTGTAATCCCAGCACTTTGGGAGGCCAAAGTGGGAGGATTGCTTGAGCCCCGGAGTTCAAGACCAGCCTGGACAACATAGCGAAACCCCATCTCTACAAAAAATACACAATTAGTGGAGCATGGTGACACATGCCTGTAGTCCCAGCTACTCAGGAGCCTGAGGCAGGAGGATCACTTGAGCCCAGGAGGTCAAGGCGACAGTGAGCTATAACTATGCCACTGCACATCAGCCTGGACAACAGGCCAAGACCTTGTCTCTTATAAAAAAAGGTCCATCTTAAACATGAAGATGCTTGGTGCCTGTCATGCTCACCCCACCCCTGGAAAGGTGGCAGGCAGGAAGTTTAGGGTGAGCAGACTCAGCAGCATAGGCTGTGAGAAGCGATTGCTGTTGGTTTCAGCGTGAGGCCCTCTACCTCCCAGGGAAGGCCACTTGGGGTACTTGAACTCCCACCTAATTCCTGGCCCTGAGCATCTCAGTCAGCCTGTACCACAGTTTCTTTATCCTTAAATGCAAGTGATCCCGCTGCCTTGCACAGGGCTGTGATGAAGAGACTGTCATTCATTCATTCATTCATTCACTTCCTCCACAAATGTTTATTGAGCACCTACTACATGCCAGATACTCTACTGGGTCACCGGGAGACAGCAGAAAGTGGAAGAAACAAAAATCCCTGCCCAGCTGGAGAATTTGTTCTCAGGAAGGAGACAGACGACAAGATGCATAAGGAAAAGATGTGATATTAGGTAGTGATAAGCCCTAAGGGAAGGGGGGTTGGTATCAGTGTGGTGGCCTCAAGGTTCATTAAGTCAGTGCCTAGTAGCCTGGCACGGTGGCTCATGCCTGTAATCCCAGTACTTTGGGAGGCTGAGGCGCGTGGGCCACCTGAGGTCAGGAGTTCGAGACCAGCCTGGGCAACATAGTGAAAACCCGTCTTTACTAAAAATACAAAAATTAGCCAGGTATGGTGGCATGCGCCTGTAATCCCAGCTACTCAAGAGGCCGAGGCATGAGAATCACTTTAACCCAAGAGGTGGAGGTTGCAGTGAGCCGAGATCATGCCATTGCATTCCAGCCTGGGCGACAGAGCGAGACCCTGTCTCAAAAAAAAAAGGAGACCAAGGAGGGGGCAGATCACAAGGTCAGGAGTTTGAGACCAGCCTGGCCAATATGGTGAAACCCCATCTCTACTAAAAATATAAAAATTAGCCGGGCATGGTGGCGGGCACCTGTAGTCCCAGCTACTCAGGAGGCTGAGTCAGGAGAATCACTTGAACCTGGGAGACGGAGGTTGCAGTGAGCCGAGATCGCATCACTGCACTCCAGCCTGGTGACAGAGTGAG